GTCCTTAAATTCTGAATGACTTCTTACTCAGAAGCTACAGTTCAAGCTGAAGGAAAAAATAAACTTTTTACAAATTTAGTAAAAAGTGTACTATGATCTGTCTACTTTGATTTGAAGGCACATCATGTTATTTCAGAAAATCACTTCATCACTTTTCTTCTGCACAAAACACATACATGCAGAAAGTAGTAGGATATTTTATGGTCAAATGTAGTGGAAAGAAAGTAAAACTCTCAGAAATGGAAATACTTGGTAACACTTTCTATGAATGTCACCTTTGTAAGCATCTATAAACACATTCATAACATGTTATAATGCATTCATAAGGCATTATAAACATGGCTATAAATATTTATAAAAATGCATTACACGTTATAGCCATGCTTATTATGCATTATGAATTGTTAACATAATACATTATAAGTTGTGTTCATAACAAATTATAAGAGCTCATAAGTCGTATTAGTCTGCTCTAAGTAAAGTGAAGCGTACTGTACTAAAGCCTCCTCCAGTGTTAAGAGTGAGTCTTCAAGTTGAAGTATTTACTGAAGAATTTACTGAAACACTAAAACATTCACAATAAAGCACATTACAGGCTTCAAATGTCAGAGTTTAAACTAGAGCTGCCATCAGTGTTTTACCCAATGTGGGAAAGTCAATGTACACCACCGTTAGCCTGGTATTTGTCTTTACACTCTCCAAGCTGGGACTGACTTCTTTGGTACTGACAGTATAACATGTTATCAACAATACTTATAATGCATTATATTAACAATTCATAATGTATAATAAACATGGCTATAAAGTGTAATTCAGTGTAATTCATTTTTATAAATGTTTATAATCATGTTTATAATGCCGTATGAACGCATTAGAACATGTTATAAATGTGTTTATAGATGCTTACAAAGGTGACATTCATAGAAAGTGTTACCAAATACTTTTACAAAGTATAGGTTCTTAAAAAACACTTCATTCCTGTCTTTAGTGACTTTCTCACAATGGTAAAAGGCTCCAACACTGTCTATCACTGTGACTTTGCAATTACTGTGTTTAAACAGATCGTCTGTTTTGTGTGAACTCTTCTTATCAGAACTCAGTTGGTCAGTGTATCACTGAGCATTAGTGTCTAATAGAGAGATTATACTGTACTGTACGGTCGGTTTATGTTTATGTCAGATTCAGTGCAGAGAACTAAGCAGTTTATGTGTAGATACTCATGCATGTCATCATTAAGAATGCTCAATGTGTTTTCCAGAGCTTAAACTATTCCACCTAATTTTCTCCTCAGTTTAGTCATGTCCAGTTCCAACCATTAGCTGGGTCTCTGTCTATCACACAATGCTACCAAGCCGGGAGGTGAAGCACAAGCTTCCTCCAAGAGTCATGAAACTCAACAACACATCTTGTCAAACTGTCACCAACCCAATATCATTGAAGCTCAACACACTTGAATTTTTGTCATGCCCTAAAATGCATATACGTGAAGTCAGGTACACTAAAACCTGAAGCTTAATGGGGACCTTGAGTGCACAAGTAAAAAGGCAGCTGGCGGTCATTTTGTGTGTGACAAGTGCACCCCACAAAAATGTTTAGTAAATCTGGCCCAAACTCTCCTGAGATATCAAGGATAACTTGTGAGCAATAACATGTCCCTCTGTACAGTGGTTCTAAACACAGTTCAATTTAAGTGAGTTGAAACACATTCTTCAGAAGCTGGCAGAGACCATATACTCCTTCAAAGCATACCAATAATCAGTGACTTAGGAGCTGTAGCCAAAGCATCAAGAGAAGCTCATTACTGTCTTCAATAACAATTACCATCTGGTTATTGCGAATGGAAAAACAGCCTAACGGGAAAGATGGGCAACTACATGTCAAGATTAAAGGCCATTAAACATGAGGATGTCATAGTGAATGCTGGTAAAGGAGTGAGATACTCTGCTGGTGGTGAGACACCAAATAAGGACATTAAGAAAACAAAGAAAGGTGAAGTCACCTGACTGATTTTCCAGATGGACACAATGCCTTCAGCCCTGGCCCGACAGCTATTGGTGGATGAAATGAAAAGGCACCAATCAATAGATGGACTTAAAATCGTCCCTCAGCAGAAAAAAAAGTTGTGAAGGACAAGCCTCCAGTCTGCCAAATGGTACAATGTCTCAAATTATAATAATGTCTCGAAAATGCAACCATGTGAATTTTACATATATCACTACATTTAATTTGCCAGTATATGCAGAACTCCATTTCCAAAAAAGTTGGTATGCTATGCAGAATGTAAATAAAAACAGAATGCAATGATATGCAAATGATGTAAACCATGTTTTTAAAGGAAAATACTACAAAGACAATATATCAAATGTTGAAACTGAGAAATTTTATTGTTTTTTGAAAATATGTGCCTATTTTGAATTTGATGCCAGCAACACGTTCCAAAAAAGTTGGGACGGGGGCCTGTTTACCACTGTGTATCATCACCTCTTCCTTTAACAACACTCTGTAAGTGTTTGGGAACTGAGGAGACTCTGCTGTAGTTTTGAAAGAGAAATGTCTCCCATTCTTGTTTTATACAGAATTTCAGCTGCTCCACAGTTCAAATACTTTGTTGTATTTTCCATTTCATAATGCGCAAATGTTTTCAGTGGGTGACAGATCTGGACTGCAGGCAGATCAGTTTAACACCCGGACTCTTTTAATACGGAGCAATGCTGCTGTAGTACATGCAGAATGTGGTTTGACATTGTCTTGCTGAAATAATCAAAGCCTTCCCTGAAAAAGACGTCGTCTGGATGGCAGCATATGTTGCCAAAACCTATATATTTCATTTAGCATTAATGGTGTCTTCACAGATGTGCACGTCACTCATGCCATGTGCACTAATGCCCCCTACACCATCATGAATACTGGCTTTTGAACTGTGCACTGATAACAAGCTGAGTGGTCTTTAGCCCAGAGGACACAGTGTCCATCATTTCCAAAAAGAATTTCAAATGTTGATTTGGCGGACCACAGAACACTTTTCCACTTCCCCCTCATCCATTTTAAATGAGCTCAGGCCCAGAGAAGGTGGCAGTGTTTCTGGATCCTGTTTATATTTGGTTTCTTCTTTGTGTTTTAGAGTTTTAACTTGTATTTGTGGATGCAGTGATGAACTGTTTTCATAGACAGTGTTTTTTTCAGAAGTGTTTCTGAGCCCATGCAGTGATTTCCTCTACAGAATCATGTCTGTTTTCAATGCAGTGCTGTCTGAGGGCCCAAAGATCACAGCCAGCTAATCATGGCTTTTGGCCTTGTCCCTTTCATACAGAGATTTCTCCAGATTCTCTGAATCTTTTAATGATATTATGTACTGTAGATGATGAAAAGCAGATGTTCTTTGCTATTTTATGTTGAGAAATGTTATTCTTGAATTGTTGCTCTATTTGATGGTGCAGTCTTTCACAGAGTGGTGAACCCCTCCTCATCTTTACTTCTGAAAGACTCCGCCTCTCTGGGATGCTTTTTTATACCCAATCATGTTACTGATATGTTGTCAATTAACCACCAGGTGTAGCATTACACAACTTTACCAGCCTTTTGTTGCCCCCGTCCCAACTTTTTTGGAATGTGTGGGCACATATTTTTCAAAAGACAATAACATTTCTCAGTTTTAACATTTGATGTGTTGTATTTGTACTACTTTTAATTAAATGTAAGGTTTAAATGATTTGTACATCATTGCATTTTGTTTTTATTTACATTCTGCACAGCGTCCCAACTTTTTTGGAAATGGGGTTGTAGATAACTTAAAACAATGAGAGCAGTATGATGTGAACACTCACTGCTACTTCATTAAGTACAACAACCCTGTTTCTACGCTCATTGTCCATTTTATCAGCTCCACTTACTATATAGGTGCACTTTGTAGTTCTACATTACAGACTGTAGTCCATCTGTTTCTCCGCATACTTTGCAGTATGATTTTGTGTGTAGTTCTTCAGTTCAGTGCTAGATGGCAGTGTTGGGTATATTTTATATGCTAGACAGAGTGAAGGGGACTTTCACACTGCAGAGAATTTCCACATGTGAAAACAGGGTGAACTGAACACTGAACATTAAACAGTGGCTGAGGGAGCATCGCATACTCCTCACAGTCTCCAGCAGAAGTCAGAATGTGTCTGATTTTTATTATACATCCTCACTCAGTAACAGGAATGTTAATCAATCAGCACTCAGTAGCAGTAATTCCAAATAATTAGCACTCATTAGCATTAATGCCAACAATCAGCTGTAGAGGAGCCAAAGAGAAAGAAACCTTGAGAGGAACCAAGACTCAAAAGGGGAACCCATCCTCCTCTGGTTGACATGAGAGAGAAAATAATAACAGCAGAGATGATTTTCTGTTTCTTATTAAAGTTATGTGTTTGTGACACTACAGAAAATGATATCTTGGCAAGTGGAATCTAGCAAATATAATATTTCTTATTTGGAGATCACTGTAAGAATATTATGAGATTATACTATTTAATTCTGGACATTTTTTACTTGTTTTAAGTAGCTGTATGTAGTAAAAATACTTGATCCCTGAAATAAGTTAATCGTACAGATTTTTTTACAACAACCTCAAAAATTAGAAATAGATCTTATTGATCTAATTGAAATGATTGAGTCAACAATAGATCAGAACATTGATTCAATTAAGTTAATGTTGATTCTTTAACATTAATTTAACATGAATTCAATGACTTATCTGATATACAATTTTTTGTGTGTATGATCTCATAATATTATGAGTGACAGCAGTGCAGAGTGATCACATTATACACTATCACTAAAGTTGTATAATAATAAAAATGAAATAAATTAATAATAATTTAAATTTCACCCACGATTCCCCCAAATTAAATGTCTGTCATCAGATTAAACCTTTTTACCCCCCCCCCAACATGTTCCTCTGTACAGTAAATCTGAACAGATAAACTGAAGTGAATGAGTTTTGTGAGTTTGCTGCAGTTTTTATTGTTATGATCAGTATTTCAGTTCATCCAGACAGTAAAAACATTTTTAACCCTTTTCAGTCTGAACGTAACATTTCATTTCATTAACTCACACAAACACGCTCAGTACACCAAATATAATAATCATACTGTAATTAAAAACATCTCATCTTGAACTATCAACTGTTTATCAAATATTACTTATATACTAACATATGTGTTCCCAAAAGAGCACTTAAAGAAATGTACACCATTTCTTCAACCATGACTGCTGTCCACTGCTGCTGGGTGCTGGTTGCTGAGAGTTTGCATCTGCAAATACCTTAAATTTACAGTCTATATTGTATAAATTTGTAAGCTCATCTTCAAATGTATTTTGTTCCCCATACTTTTCAGGTGTCTTAGCATCTTTGTGCATAATGTAACCACCAAATTCATGTTTATTATTATCACAATTATTATTGACATCAGTCTTACAGCAGGCGTACGCATTCCAGAAGTGAGTCGGCACGTTCACCTTGCCCTCATTCTTCAGCGTCTCAAGATCTTTTTCACGACTCGGCACAACTCCAGTTACTACATAAGCTCGTCTCCCTTTGTTCAAACAGTCTTTCCACAGGGTCTTTCTCACATCGTCTTCCACTTTAGCCCAGTAGATGCCGTTAAAATTCTCCTCCTGAGGTGCTGTGTTGGTGAGGATGCAGGTGCTCTTTGCAGCATCCTCAGAGTCAGTGTGGCAGACAGGAAACAGGTGACCTCTGGTGTAGCCTGATTTTGAGTAGTCAGAATCAAAGGCCTGGACTTTTCCAAGCTGTAACAACAGATGAGGTCACACAGTCAAAAGAATGTCTGTTAAAAGTTGTCTGAGGTTTCAGAACAAAAGGATTGAATGTGTCTACATGGCTTTTCTAAAACACACACACAACTATAAAAGAGAGTAGCCTGGTTCACTGATCCTCTGACTTCTAATAGTATCAACAGAAAAATGTTCTACATTCACTTAACTTGACTGAAGTAAACTAATTTAGGTTAGATTAGCTAGCTAGGTCTCTATGGAGAAGGGGGCGTGGCCGAGCATCAAATGCAGGACGGAGAAGCCAGTCGGGCTAACCCAGTGGCCTAAGTAGCTGATGATCTTCACCTGTGCCTTATTTCTACCAGCCTACTTATAGTCATCTCTTCCCTCAGTAGGTGGCAGAGCCCAGAGAGAGAAGGTGACCCATGAAGGTGTGAGCTGAGCTGAGCTGAGCAAAAAGAAAGAAAGAAAGAAAGGACTGAAAAGTCCCAGTAAGCATCTTGTCTTAATTTGTCTGCAGGCTGAAAAGCTGAGTGGTTTTTGCGTTGTGTATAAATAATAAAAAAAGCTCTCCATCTTCACGTCTGTTCCGGCATCCTCCCTCCACCCATTATTAAAGTTGTTACAGTCTCCCTCTATCAGATGGGTTCTACCAGGCTGGGAGGGTGAAGGTGAGCATATTCTTCCTCCGAGACACGTGAAGTTCCACCACTTTAAAAACTGCTACTAACACAACGTCACTGGAACCCAATATACTTGGCGGGGGAATGCTAACTGCTTGGTCTATTACATCAGCTAACAGATGCCCGTGTTGGATAGCATTGCGCTCAGTGATGGGGAGAGGAAAGACCACCCTACCCACCCTGAGAGAGAGAGTAATGATGATCTCTAAGACTCCTGAAACGTTACTCTTGATGGTAGTTCAACTGTTCAGCTACAATATAGAAGACAAAACAACAAAAAAGCAACAAAACACACCAGAATAAAACAGTATAATCTGCATATTTAAACATTGCAGGTAGGTCCTCCACCTTCCCATCACTCAGCAAGATGCTAGCCGATGTGTGTATTTGTTGGCTATCATGAAAAAATAGCCGTTAATGCCCAAGAACACTGAGCTGTCATATGATGTTAGCATTAGCAGCAGTTTGTAAAGATGCAGTAGAGCTTCCACTGATATCTGTCTTTGAACGTGAAATGTGAACCGTATGAAGTAGTTCAATAAATTCTTCATTTTTGACAGAAATTAAAACGCTACTGTTCAAGGACCTGTGATTGAAATCTACACGTTCTTACCTGTGAGTCAGTCCTGAAGTCCATTTTAGGTCTTGGCACTTTGCAGTCCTCTGTCCTTTTAAACTCATAGGCAGAGTAAACGGGAATCTTTCGTTTGGAATCATACAAAGTTGCATAATGATATTCTTTATTGTATTTCTGACAAATCTGCTTGTTGTCATCTGACACAGCATTGTTGTCAGGAAACATTCTGGGTGGTTTGCCATCCAGAAAGAACTGACTACAATGCTTTGTAAAGTCATCTACTACATCTCCCAGAGCTCCTAGAGTGAGGAGCATCAGCACAGCAGCCAGCAGCTTCATCTTCAGAGAAAAAGAAGGGAACACTCAATTATACAGAAAGAGGAGAACACTCTCTCTTCTCTAACAGTCTGCAGAAAGAGGAGAACGCTCACTCTTCACTAACAGTCTACAGAAAGAGGAGAACGCTCACTCTTCACTAACAGTCTACAGAAAGAGGAGAACACTCTCTCCTCTCTAACAGTCTACAGAAAGAGGAGCACGCTCACTCTTCTCTAACAGTCTACAGAAAGAGGAGCATGCTCTCTCCTCTCTAACAGTCTACAGAAAGAGGAGAACGCTCACTCTTCTCTAACAGTCTACAGAAAGAGGAGAACGCTCACTCTTCTCTAACAGTCTACAGAAAGAGGAGAACGCTCACTCTTCTCTAACAGTCTACAGAAAGAGGAGAACACTCACTCTTCTCTAACAGTCTACAGAAAGAGGCGCATGCTCTCTCCTCTCTAACAGTCTACAGAAAGAGGAGAACGCTCACTCTTCTCTAACAGTCTACAGAAAGAGGAGAACGCTCACTCTTCTCTAACAGTCTACAGAAAGAGGAGCACGCTCACTCTTCTCTAACAGTCTACAGAAAGAGGCGCATGCTCTCTCCTCTCTAACAGTCTACAGAAAGAGGAGAACGCTCACTCTTCTCTAACAGTCTGCAGAAAGAGGAGAACGCTCACTCTTCTCTAACAGTCTGCAGAAAGAGGAGAACGCTCACTCTTCTCTAACAGTCTGCAGAAAGAGGAGAACGCTCACTCTTCTCTAACAGTCTACAGAAAGAGGAGAACGCTCACCCTTCTTTTGTAGTCCAGTCTTCAGAGAGTGTCCTCTCACAGCTTCTGATGGAGATTATATATCCTCACTCTGGGAGGAGCTCATGTTAAACCACACACTGTGGATTATACTATCAAACCATCTTCAATCTATTTATATGTACTTTCCCAGAATGTCCAGAATGTACTCTACTGTTCTTTTGGTGTAAATGTAATTTTACTGATGGTTCACTGTGTGTAGTGGTTCAGTCATATAAATTATTATACACGTCTATCAAAACAGGTAAACGTCATTAATCTGCTCTCACTTCCACGCTGATGTACTGTAGCACGTATGAGACATGTTTTGCACGTTTATTCTGGTTCTGGTGTTCTACAGCATTTGTTAATGGGCTTGTTCTGCTAGGGACCCTTATTCTGAAGGTGGGAGGACATATCTGTTGGAATGGGAGAAACTGAGTCAGGCAGGGCCTCGGATATGAGGAGTGCAGAAGCAGCAGAGATGGGATCGGAGGCTTGGCCTGAGCTAGTGCGTGAGCTAGCTGTTGACCTTGAGCCCCAACTACAGCTGTTGCTGTTTTCAGTCCATGTTCTATGTTATGTGTTGTTCACCCTCCGTCACCCTCAGTCCAAGGCAGATTAAAACAGGGCTGAAGCTGAGAAAACCCAGCACAGCTCGCCAAAGATATTACATTAACAATGCTATTTCATTTCTGTGAAACTGTTACATTAGTGGGTTCCACATATCATTTCTGTCCAGATGCCTCCCAAACACTGAAGTGCTACTCCTCCATCATAACTGCCTCCTTTATACATCTAACGAAATAGGATAAAAAGAGTATTATCAATAACAGATATCCCGCTGGTCATCATGGGTATAGGAACAAAAGCAAAGATAAATTAAATAAACGTATCAAATGAATAAAGGCCTGTATTGAACACTGTGATTGAAAGATACCACCTGAATCCTCCCCGGTCAGAAGGATGGAGGATGGCTAGTCCCATTGATTTAATAAGAATGTTTAGAGATTTGAGTATGTGTGTTTGGGTGGGTAGATGTGTGATTTGGTAAACAACCAATAAGAAAGATAGATATATAGACAGACAGAGAGGCAGGCAGGCAGGCAGACAGATACATCGATAGATAGACAGACAGACAGAGAGGCAGGCAGGCAGACAGACAGATCGATAGATAAATAGTTTTAGATAATACAAGTTCTAGAAGTTCTAGTGAACAGTGAATGAATAATCATAATAAGCTGCTGAAAATATATACAGGTATGTAACTAAATGGAGCTCAGTGTAAGATACTTTATCATTGTATGAGTAATATAAAGCGTGAGCTGCTCTTGTTGTGTGTATTTTGTATTGTGCGCTGGTCAGCGATTGACCACACGGGGGCACGCTGCTGTACAAGAGGTCACCCACAGGGCTCTTTCCTCATTCACACTCTCCACTTCACTTTCATTATTAAAATTTATGAAAGCTTTATATTAGACTTTGTGAATTTGGGAAAAGTAGAGGACGAGTGTTCACCTTTTCTCCTGTTTTAATGTAGAAATTTAGGATAGACTTGTGTATTTCTGTTCAAGTTAGTTAGTTTTGTAAACTTTAGTTGTTTGGTGTGTTATTTTAGGCACATGTTCTTCCCCAAAGCTACATTTTTTCCCCTCAGCAGTTAACAACTCATGTAAACCTAAACCTTCTTTTAGGTTTAAATAAATGAACCTTCTTGTGAAACAGTGTCTGGTGTTTGGTCTGGTGACAGACCGGGTCAGAACAGAACTCGTCCTTTGCTGATTTTTGTCCGGTGAGTTTTTGCATTTTATTCACTTGCTTGCTGTTTTTCTTTTGGAGGGGGAGGTGTGTACATAACCTCACAGGCTGATTAGAAGGTCAATCTTCACTTTTCTTTTATGTTTTAGGTTGCTTAGCTATATGCCCACCAGGCTGAGATGAAGAATAGTAGCCTCAGAGACTGATGAAAGACACCTTTTGCCTTCTAGGCTCAGTGGAAGGCCAATGATAATTTACTGTAATTTATTTAACATAACCTACGTAAGATGCTTCCACAGCTGATTGGATGGCCGCTGATCATTTCCCACTGTTGCTTGACATTTATGCTTTTATTTCCCTCACGGCTGATGTAAAAGTGCCATGTTGAAAGGCTGACAGGAAGTATTACCGCCACACAGGCTGATTAGAAGGACACGGTTCACTTTTTTCAGTGTTACCGAGTTAAAATCCTTTCCTGCACATTTTAGTATTTCTCCTGCTTTAACACCCACTTTGACTCAATGATGGCTGATCAGGTGTGTTGGGAGGAGGGAAAACAGAAATGCTGAGCAGTGGAGCCTCCAGGACCAGGGTTGAGAAACACTGTGCCTGTCTATCTTATCAGCCTTGGAAGGTTGTAGTATTTAAAGCAGACTTGGACACATCGTCAGTTAGTCATGTTAAATAATTTACCATAATCTAATCATTGGCCTTCCAATTAGACTAGAAGGTAAAAAGTGTTTTCCATCAACTTCTGAGGCTAGTGCACTTCACATCAGCCTGGACGGCACATAACTAAGTAATGTGAAAAAATTATTGACCTTCTAATCTACCTGCGTGGCAATAATCTTTACTATCGTCCTTTAAGACCACACCAATTTTACACCAGCAGCAGTGCAATCTATTTATTTTATCTATATGTTTTATTGTTAGCAAATATATTAGTTAATGTTAATCAACACTTCATATGAAAATAACATTAACACAGTTGTTACTGGTTTATTTAATATAGTGAACCGCTGCTAATGTAGTCCCACATGTTGTTCTTGTTAACAGATGCATTGCTTAATGTATGTTGGTCAACACTTATTGTAAAGTTTATACCAGTTAAATGCATTTGAATACATTTCTTACAGTAGAGTTTGAGAGTCAGGCCTTCCTTTCTGAGCACTCACTCCCACAGCCCCCACACTCCTCTGTTATCAGTTTAACATTGGCTCTATGGCTCTTTAACGGTCCAGAGAGACAGTAAACTAACGGACACACTGTTTCAAAGCAAACACTGGAACAATATACATATGCGTTATGTATGAAGGGTATCAGCCTATAATTTGCATTCTGCAGTTTATGTTGAGGGCTGTAAGAAGCTGATTATGAAGAGAAGCTTTAGTCATTCAAACTAGTGTGTAAATTCATTGGAACTGTGTTGTACTGTACAGTCTTTAATCTTTGAGATTAAAAATCTCAAATACTAAAATTAATCCTAATAGTGTTTGTGCTTCAAAAGCCAAACATGTGATTTCTAGAATATAAAAATTGATGCACTGAAAATAACAGGAAACATAAGAATAATAAACATTCAATAAAGAACATTTTTATGCAATCAATATTGTGGCAATGTGAATATAAACACTTTTTAAAGTCCCTTTTTGAGAGGAGTGCTGCCTCCCATGAGCCCCCACGTGTGCCCTCCTCAAAAGGGGACTTTATAAAGTGTTTATGTTCACAGGTTGGATTAGATTCTTTATTGTCCTTCATAGAGGAACATTGTCTTCACAGCCTGTGCTGTTCATACATTGTTCTGGGACATGCAATATCATTACATACATTTGAATGAATACTAGGAAAACAGTACAGACAATGAGGCCATCCATAAAGCGTGTTTAAACATATACAGCCTAAATATTAGTTACTTCCTTTAAAAGCAGTTTTACAGCATCTATTTCAGAGGGGAGGCTTGTTAAGGGCTGATATGGCTGACAGTACAAAACTTTCAGCAAAGCTTCTTTACACTCTAGTGCTCTGTATCTCCGGCCTGATGGGAGTAAAGTGGAGAAACAGTGCAGTGGGTTATCGGGGTCTTGTGCTTTTGTGATGGCTCTTCTTAAAATAGCTTCATTGATCAGGTTTGACAGGTTGTGTTTGCGAGACCTATGATTTTTGAGGTATGATGCGTAACATTTTGTTAATGTTTGACACACTGGAAAGTAAAAGGTTGAATAATACAGGATAATAGACTCAATCATGTTCCTACAGAGGAGCAGGAGCAGTGAAGGGGCTTCGTAAAGAGCACTTCTGTCAGCAGAAAAGTCTCTGCTGACATCTCATGTGAATTTCCATTACCTGCTTGTCAAAGCTGGCTTTATTGTCCGGATTGAGTCCAAGGTACTTAAAACAGGACACAACATCCACATCTTCCCTCTGATTGTAATGGTAACTGAGCTGTGAACAGTGCAGTGGAAGTTTGGCGAGATGATCATCTCCTCTGTCTTTGATATGTTCAACTGTAGATATTCATTTGTGCACCACTGTGTTAGATGGGAGAGGGAGTACTGGTAAGATGAGACAGAGTTACTCTCTTTGAGAAGTCCAAGTATAGCTGTGTCTGAATACCTTAGATAGGTGGTGGCTGGTGAGGGGCTTCTACAGTTGTTAGTGTACAGGGTAAACAGAAATGGACTAAGAACGCAGTCTTGTGGAGCTCTGGTGTTAATAGTGGTGTTGAGGACAGGACCTTACCTATCCTAACAGCTGTGCACCCAGCAGATAAGGAGTGGAGGGACTTTCAGATACTGGAGTTTTTAATCATCTGATGTTGCTGGAATGTGTTGAAGGTGGAGCTGAAATCAATGAAGAGAATTCTGGCAAAGTGACCTGGTGTCTCTAGATGCCACAGCGTCCACTGTTCCCCATTTAGCCCTATAGGCGAGAAACTGGTGAGAATCCAGCTGTGGTCTAACAGCTGGAAGAACAGAAGTCGGCGCCAGTTTTTTCAGGTGCTTCATCATTATTGAAGTTAGTGCGATAAGCCAGTTATGATTTAGTTCAGAGGGTGTGTTGTTTTTGGGCACAGGAATGACTGTAGTCGTTTTCTACTGACCCAGTCCTGATGGACTCCATGAAGAGTGAATGGAGGACAGGTGAGAGCTCCACAGCACAGACTTTATGCACTCTTGCTTGCCGTCTGGACCTGGAGCTTTACTTGTCTTGGACCTTCTGAGCAGCAGGTGAACATCCTCTTGCATGAAGAGAGGGGCAGTGCATGCTGGGTCTGATTTGGGTACAGCCCTAAGAACTCCTCACATTCCCCAGAACAGCTGAGAATATCAAAATGTGC